CACATGTGCTAAAAATATGGGGACTACATGGGCTCTCCATATAGCTCCATGTTTTGCTGAGGCACTCAAATAGTATTGTGAAAAGGAATACAAACTCAAAGGTTAATGGATGCTATGCTTTCTCTATGTCCTCTGATCACACAGCTGACACACCTTCTTTTCCATCATCCTAAGTCCATGCTCACAGTTCAGGCCACATATTAGTAACCTGGAGCTTTTTCAACACACTGATGCCCTAACCACATCCCAGACTATTTCGTGAGCCCTCCGTTCCTTATTCCTGGCAGCAGGATCTGCACATAGGGAATGACCACCCCCATTCCATCATCCCAACTCAATCATGACTGTTCCTTAACCTGCTGCTCTATGGATTTTGCCATTCCTCATGACAGTTTCAAGCAAATGACCCTCCTGTCATCTGCAGTGGCCTTCCTGATGCCACTTTGGTCCTGTATCACATCAATTTATTGGGTCTTGATGTAACTGACCCCCGACCCACATCCCTTTGAGTGACTTAAACAAAAGGCTCTCTTTAGCCTCAGTCCTCAAGGTCAATGGTGTATTTAGACTCGAAGCTGGACATGTTAATGGAAACGACAATAAGGAAGAGGAGAGGACAAGGACCACCTAAGTCGTCCTTGATCTGTGCAGATTTGGTACTCCCTTGGCCTCTCCTATGGACTGACATACCTTTAAAGTTCCACTCAGTGCCTCCAGTTAACGTCAGAGTTCATGAGATAGAGATACTGACTCTGATGAAAACATGCACATTGCAAGGCCTGGAGATATGGCACTGAAGACAACACTGGCACTAGGGCCTAGCTTTCTCTCACCAATACCCCAGTTGCAATGTGGTTTTGTAATCAGGGTACATCTCATAATATGCACTTTCATGTGCAGTCCAATTTAAAAGTTCAGGAACTGACATGGTCTGGTCCCCAAAGGCAAGCACAAGAGGAGAAATCAATAGAGAATAGTAGACAGCTCCCAGAGGAAAGCTCCCAGTGGGAGCCTGGTAGCCGGGAAAACAGACAAAAAGCCAACAAAGACTGGGTTCTGGGGAATTAGTTGCTTGTGCATAGCGGCCAATGTGCTCTCATACAGTAATGATAACAACATCTGGCTTACCTAGGGCACTTGAAGTGTCGGACACCAGTGCTGGTGGGAACACACTCAACATATACAAACAGGAGATGGAGATGGATGTACAGACCAGGTGGAGGCCCGTGGACATTCGAGGTATGAACACTCAGAGGATACATTAGTATTGGACGAACAACCTTGAGGAGAAAACACGAAGGAGGATGAGCTCAATCCTCATGAAGGGTTACAAGGAGTAAGTGCATCCAAAGAGACAAAGGGGGAATTACCTGTTTGTTCCAGTTCGGAATATCATACTTTCGCACCTGCTGAACTATTTTCTCTGCTTGATCTTCCCTTTCAGGACATTTGTGCATCAATGAGCCATGTTAAACCATGGTGTGTAGTCAACTGAGCTTCGGAGGCATCAACCCTCCAGCTCCATTTCAAACAGACATCTGAATCAGCACTAAAATACAACCACAGACATTTCCCTGTGCCCTGACTGGACAGAAGAGTGTCACCAAGGAAAGAAGTAAGCTGGACAACAAAGTCCAAGGACTGGGAGAGAGGCCTAAGAACACTATATTTCATGATGGCTGATGTTTCTCACGTATCCATAATGTAAGATGGCCAGGAGCAAAGGTACTCAATTTATTAACATATTCAGGAGAAACTGGCACTAGCAAAACCCAGCACCTCCAAGAATATACAGCAAGAAAGGAAATGTCATGGCCATGGCTGTGTGATTTTGGAGAGAGATTTTAATACCAAGCACAATCAAGTTCAAGGAAACCCTATGACAAAACTACTGTGGAGATTAATCCTGGGAAACTTACAAAATTGCATAAGGATTGATATCTTCCCGTATGCACATTCTATTTAGAAACACACCTGCCACAAACAATATGTATGCTCCAGATACAGATTCATCATATTCCCATTTGCTAGGATACAAATCACATGCATTATTATCTATTGCACCACTTCTCACACTGCAAGATGAGGGATCTTATACAGATTAATTCTTTTCCAGAGCTAAATTAGAAATCGGTGAAAAATGTGGATAAAAAGCTTGTGAAAAGCAGATGGCCCGTTAAGACATCAGAAATGAAGCATGAGCAATAGAGCAAACTGCACACTCTCCCTGCTCCCAAATTCCTCTGAGCTGGCTTATGCTCCGGCATCCACGAAGGTGAGCAAACAGACAAAAAGAGTTAGGCTGCTGAGTATTGTCTGGCTTGGGAAGCCAGTGGCAAGGAAAAGGCATGCCAGATGGATGCAAGACAGTAAATGCTCCATGTTATTCACATGGTAAGCACTGCATGTCCCCAAAGATCAGGAGCACTTCCCATGAACATCCAAGTGTATGACTGGGCCCCTAATCCCAACGACCTTCCACCTCCTGACATCACCACCAGAAGCGTCCATGCTCAATGGTTGTCATGGAGTACACTGAGAAGGATGTGCAAGACCCATAAATGGACGTGAAGTTGAAACCTCAGTCTAAGAAATCTGGGCAAATGAGGGTGGTGGACCAAGCCTGTAATACAAGCTGCATGGGAGGCAGAGACGGAAGAGACTGAGTCGGAGTGAGACCCCATTTTAAGACACAAGTAAGAAGGATTGTGCTCGCCTGCCATCCCAGCTTTTGGAGCCTATGCAGTGGGAAGAGGCCCTGACACAGGGAGGGTTCTGGAAATCAAATGCCAGCAATAAGAAAAAGAGAAAGCAGAAACTATTTGTAAAAGAAATTGTCAGCACGGAATGAAAACAGTGAAAAGGGCCACTGCACAGATCCAAGTCCAGCCTGCTTTTACTAAAGCGGAACACTCATTCCTAGTGCTGAACTTCTAATGAACCCACATGACCACTTGACAAACCTGGAGCAGACCCTTTCCATAAATGTGGATGAAGAGCAAATGGTACCTTGCTACACAGGAAAGGTTTGAGAGTGCTTTCCAAGCAGATCAGGAAAAGCAGAAAAGCAGAGTGAGGAGAGCAGTGAGTTCAACCACAGCACAACTATTTCTCTACTTTCTGGAAGAAATACCACTCCAGTCACCTGTAAAGCATTTCTAGGATAAGCTCGAATATCTAGACCCACAGATATTTAAATCAGAAGGCACTGCAGTATGCTGCTGCCTTTTCCACTCAAAGCGCTCCTTCAAAAAACGATCCCTCTCTATAGTTCATAGCTTTCTAGAATGGCACAGAAGTGTAAATATAGAACAACTTACTACATTTCACGTTTGAGGTGTGTAATTTTCCTTCAAGGGGACTTTATTTCAGGAGTTTTGAGGATTTTTGTTTCAGAAAAATCATGGATGAAAAGTAAAACTTTCATATCGTGCTCCCATCTCCTCACAGGCCTGGCAAGTAAGGTGGAAAAGGCGCTGCACGTATTATTTGAAAATGAAAAAGAAAATACTAAATTCCACCATGTGCACTTGGAGAGGTTCTCCATGCTTTCATTCCAAAACAGCTATTATTCTTTTCCCTCTTTACTCAAACATTTTGAGCACATGTGCTACTACATGGGTCTCTCCCATCCATCTCCACATTACTGTGGCACTAAAATATTTGTCAGAGGGAAGTACAAATCAACGGAACAATTCTATGCTTTCTCTATGCCTGTGCCACACAGCTGGGACAATACCGTCTTGTCAACCTGTCAACAGCTTAAGTCCACGCTCCACAGTCATGCCACATATTACAGTCACCTGGGAGCTTTTTCAACACACTGATGCCCTAACCACATCCCAGACTATTTCGTGAGCCCCTCCGTTCCTTATTCCTGCAGCAGGATCTGCACATAGGGAATGGACCACCCCCATTCCATCATCCCATCTCAATCATGCCTGGTTCCTTACCTGCTGGCTCTATGGATTTTGTCATTCCTCATGACAGTTTCAAGCAAATGACCCTCCTGTCATCTGCAGTGGCCTGTCCTGATGCCACTTTGGTCCTGTATTCACAATCAATTTTATTGGGTCTTGATGTAACTGACCCCCGACCCACACCCTTTGAGTGACTTAAACAAAAGGCTCTCTTAGCCTCAGTCCTCAAGAGTCAATGGGTTGTATTTAGACTCGAAGCTGGACATGTTAATGGAAACGACAATAAGGAAGAGGAGAGGACAAGGACCACCTAAGTCGTCCTTGATCTGTGCAGATTTGAGGTACTGCCCTTGGCCTCTCCTTATGGACTGACATACCTTTAAAGTTCCACTCAGTGTCCTCCAGTTAACGTCAGAGTTCATGAGATAGAGATACTGACTCCTGATGAAAACATGCACATTGGCAAAGGCCTGGAGATATGGCACTGAAGACAACACTGGCACTAGGGCCTAGCTTTCTCTCACCAATACCCCAGTTTGCAATGTGGGTTTGTAATCAGGGCTACATCTCATAATATTGGCACTTTTCATGTGCAGGTCCAATTTAAAAGTTCAGGAACTGACATGGTCTGGTTCCCCAAAGCAAGCACAAGGGAGAATCCCATGATAGAGAATAGTTTAGGACATGCTCCCAGAGGAAAGCTCCCAGTGGGAGCCTGGGTAGCCGGGAAAACAGACAAAAAAGCCAACAAAGACTGGGGTTCTGGGAATTAGTTGCTTGTGCATAGCAGGCCAATTGGTGCTCTCATACAGTAATGATAACAACAGTCTGGGCTTACCTAGGGCACTTGAAGTGTCGGGACACCAGTGCTGGGTGGGAACACACTCCACTATACAAACAGAGATGGAGATGGATGTACAGACCAGAGGCCCGTGGACATTCGAGGTATGAACACTCAGAGGATACATTAGGTATTGGACAGAACAAACCTTGAGGAGAAAACACAGAAGGAGGATGAGCTCAATCCTCCATGAAGGGTTACAAGGAGTAAGTGCATCCAAGAGACAAAGGGGGAATTACCTGTTTGTTCCAGTTCAGGGAATATGCATACTATTCGGCACCTGCTGAACAGTAGTTTTCTCTGCATGATCTTCCCTTTCAGGACATTTGTGGCATCAATGAGGCCATGTTGAAACCATGGTGTGTAGTCAACTGAGCCTTCGGGAGCATCACCCTCCAGCTCCATTTCAAAGCAGACATCTGAATTCAGCACTGAAAATACAACCACAGACATTGTTCCCTGTGCCCTGACTGGGACAGAAGAGTGTCACCAAGGAAAGAAAGTAAGCTGGGACAACAAAGTCCAAGGCTGGGAGAGGAGGCCTAGAGACACACTTATATTTTCATGATGGCTGATGTTTCTCACGTATCCAGTAATGGTAAGATGGCCAGGAGGCAAAGGTACTTCGAATTTATTAACATATTCAGGAGAAACCGGACTAGCAAAACCCAGCACCTCCCAAGAATATACAGCAAGACAAGGAAATGTCACTGGCCATGGGCTGTGTGATTTTGGGGAGGAAGAGATTTTAATACCAAGCACAATCAAAGTTCAAGGAAAACCCTATGACACAAACTAACTGTGGGAGATTAATCCTGGGAAACTTACAAAATTTGCATAAGGATCTGATATACTTCCCGTATGCACATTCTATTTAGAAAACACACCTGCCACAAACACATAATGTATATGCTCCAGATACAGATTCATTCATTATTCCCATTTGCTGAGGATACAAATACACATGCATTTAATTATCTGATTGCACCACTTCTCACACTGCAAGATGGAGGGATCTTATACAGATTATAATTCTTATTCCACAGAGCTGAAATTAGAAATCGGTGAAAAATGTGGATAAAAAGAGCTTGTGAAAAGCAGATGGCCCGTTAAGACATCAGGAAATGATAGCACTGAGCAATAGAGCAAAGCTGCACACTCTCCCTGCTCCCCAAATGTCCTCTGAGCTGGCTTATTGCTCCGGCATCCACGGAAGGTGAGCAACAGACAGAGTAAATGAGTTAGGCTGCTGAGTATTGTCTGGGCTTGGGGAAGCCAGTGGCAAGGAAAAGGCATGCCAGATGGATGGCAAGACAGTTAAATGCTCCATGTTATTCACATGGGTAAGGCACTGCATGTCCCCAAAGATGCAGGAGCACTTCCCATAGGAACACTCCAAGTGTATGACTGGGGCCCCTAATCCCAACGACCTTCCACCTCCTGACATCACCACCAGGAAGCGTCCATGGCTCAATGTGTTGTCATTGGAGTGACACTGAGGAAGGATGTGCAAGACCCAGATAAAGTGGACGTGAAGGGTTGAAACCTCAGTCTTAAGAACATCTGGAGCAAATGAGGGGTGGTGGACCAAGCCTGTAATACAAGCTGCATGGGAGGCAGAGACGGAGAGGACTGAGGTCGGAGTGAGACCCCATTTAAGACACCAAGTAAGAAGGGATTTGTGGCGTGCGCCTGCCATCCCAGGCTTTTGGAGCCTATGCAGTGGGAGAGGCCCTGACACAGGGAGGGTCTGGAATTCAAATGCCAGCAATAAGAAAAAGAGAAAGGCAGAAACTATTTGTAAAAGAAATTGTCAAGCACGGAATGGGAACAGTGAAAAGGGCCACTGGCACAAGATCCAAGTCCAGCCTGCCTTTTACTAAAGCGGAGACACTCATTCCTAGGTGCTGAACTTCTAATGAACCCACATGACCACTTGACAAACCTGGAGCAGACCCTTTCCATAAATGTGGATGAAGAGCAAGATGGGTACCTTGCTACACAGGAAAGGTTTGAGAGTGCTTTTCCAAGCAGATCAGGAAAAGCAGAAGAAAGCAGAGTGAGTGGAGAGCAGTGAGTTCAACCACAGCACAACTATTTCTCTACTTTCTGGAAGAAATACCACTCCAGGTCACCTGTAAAGCATTTCTAGGATAAGCTCGAATATCTAGACCCACAGATATTTAAATCAGAAGGCACTGCAGTATGCTGCTGCCTTTTTCCACCTTCAAAGCGCTCCTTCAAAAAACGATCCCTCTCTAGTAGTTCATAGCGTTCTAGAATGGCACAGAAGTGTAAATATAGAACAACTTACTACATTTCACGTTTGAGGTGTGTAATTTTTCCTTCAAGGGAGGACTTTTATTTCAGGAGTTTTGAGGATTTTTGTTTCAGAAAAATCATGGATGAAAAGTAAAACTTTCATATCGTGCTCCCCATCTCCTCACAGGCCTGGCAAGTAAAGGTGGAAAAGGCAGGCTGCACGTATTATTTGAAAATGAAAAAGAAAATACTAAATTCCACCATGTGCACTTGGAGGAGGTTCTCCATGTGCTTTCAGTTCCAAAACAGCTATTATTCTTTTCCGCTCTTGTACTCAAACATTTTGAGCACATGTGCTACTACATGGGTCTCTCCCATCCATCTCCACATTCTACTGTGGCACTAAAATAGTTTTGTTCAGAGGGAAGTACAAATTCAACGGTTAACAGATTCTATGCTTTCTCTATGGCCTGTGCCACACAGCTGGGACAATACCGTCTTGTCAACCTGTCAACAGCTTAAGTCCACGCTCCACAGTTCATGCCACATATTACAGTCACCTGGGAGCTTTTTCAACACACTGATGCCCTAACCACATCCCAGACTATTTCGTGAGCCCCTCCGTTCCTTATTCCTGGCAGCAGGATCTGCACATAGGGAATGGACCACCCCCATTCCATCATCCCATCTCAATCATGCCTGGTTCCTTACCTGCTGGCTCTATGGATTTTGTCATTCCTCATGACAGTTTCAAGCAAATGACCCTCCTGTCATCTGCAGTGGCCTGTCCTGATGCCACTTTGGTCCTGTATTCACAATCAATTTTATTGGGTCTTGATGTAACTGACCCCCGACCCACATCCCTTTGAGTGACTTAAACAAAAGGCTCTCTTAGCCTCAGTCCTCAAGAGTCAATGGGGTTGTATTTAGACTCGAAGCTGGACATGTTAATGGAAACGACAATAAGGAAGAGGAGAGGACAAGGACCACCTAAGTCGTCCTTGATCTGTGCAGATTTGAGGTACTGCCCTTGGCCTCTCCTTATGGACTGACATACCTTTAAAGTTCCACTCAGTGTCCTCCAGTTAACGTCAGAGTTCATGAGATAGAGATACTGACTCCTGATGAAAACATGCACATTGGCAAAGGCCTGGAGATATGGCACTGAAGACAACACTGGCACTAGGGCCTAGCTTTCTCTCACCAATACCCCAGTTTGCAATGTGGGTTTTTGTAATCAGGGCTACATCTCATAATATTGGCACTTTTCATGTGCAGGTCCAATTTAAAAGTTCAGGAACTGACATGGTCTGGTTCCCCAAAGCAAGCACAAGAGGAGAATCCCATGATAGAGAATAGTTTAGGACATGCTCCCAGAGGAAAGCTCCCAGTGGGAGCCTGGGTAGCCGGGAAAACAGACAAAAAAGCCAACAAAGACTGGGGTTCTGGGGAATTAGTTGCTTGTGCATAGCAGGCCAATTGGTGCTCTCATACAGTAATGATAACAACAGTCTGGGCTTACCTAGGGCACTTGAAGTGTCGGGACACCAGTGCTGGGTGGGAACACACTCCACTATACAAACAGGAGATGGAGATGGATGTACAGACCAGGTGGAGGCCCGTGGACATTCGAGGTATGAACACTCAGAGGATACATTAGGTATTGGACAGAACAAACCTTGAGGAGAAAACACAGAAGGAGGATGAGCTCAATCCTCCATGAAGGGTTACAAGGAGTAAGTGCATCCAAGAGACAAAGGGGGAATTACCTGTTTGTTCCAGTTCAGGGAATATGCATACTATTCGGCACCTGCTGAACAGTAGTTTTCTCTGCATGATCTTCCCTTTCAGGACATTTGTGGCATCAATGAGGCCATGTTGAAACCATGGTGTGTAGTCAACTGAGCCTTCGGGAGCATCACCCTCCAGCTCCATTTCAAAGCAGACATCTGAATTCAGCACTGAAAATACAACCACAGACATTGTTCCCTGTGCCCTGACTGGGACAGAAGAGTGTCACCAAGGAAAGAAAGTAAGCTGGGACAACAAAGTCCAAGGCTGGGAGAGGAGGCCTAGAGACACACTTATATTTTCATGATGGCTGATGTTTCTCACGTATCCAGTAATGGTAAGATGGCCAGGAGGCAAAGGTACTTCGAATTTATTAACATATTCAGGAGAAACTGGACTAGCAAAACCCAGCACCTCCCAAGAATATACAGCAAGACAAGGAAATGTCACTGGCCATGGGCTGTGTGATTTTGGGGAGGAAGAGATTTTAATACCAAGCACAATCAAAGTTCAAGGAAAACCCTATGACACAAACTAACTGTGGGAGATTAATCCTGGGAAACTTACAAAATTTGCATAAGGATCTGATATACTTCCCGTATGCACATTCTATTTAGAAAACACACCTGCCACAAACACATAATGTATATGCTCCAGATACAGATTCATTCATTATTCCCATTTGCTGAGGATACAAATACACATGCATTTAATTATCTGATTGCACCACTTCTCACACTGCAAGATGGAGGGATCTTATACAGATTATAATTCTTATTCCACAGAGCTGAAATTAGAAATCGGTGAAAAATGTGGATAAAAAGAGCTTGTGAAAAGCAGATGGCCCGTTAAGACATCAGGAAATGATAGCACTGAGCAATAGAGCAAAGCTGCACACTCTCCCTGCTCCCCAAATGTCCTCTGAGCTGGCTTATTGCTCCGGCATCCACGGAAGGTGAGCAACAGACAGAGTAAATGAGTTAGGCTGCTGAGTATTGTCTGGGCTTGGGGGAAGCCAGTGGCAAGGAAAAGGCATGCCAGATGGATGGCAAGACAGTTAAATGCTCCATGTTATTCACATGGGTAAGGCACTGCATGTCCCCAAAGATGCAGGAGCACTTCCCATAGGAACACTCCAAGTGTATGACTGGGGCCCCTAATCCCAACGACCTTCCACCTCCTGACATCACCACCAGGAAGCGTCCATGGCTCAATGTGTTGTCATTGGAGTGACACTGAGGAAGGATGTGCAAGACCCAGATAAAGTGGACGTGAAGGGTTGAAACCTCAGTCTTAAGAACATCTGGAGCAAATGAGGGGTGGTGGACCAAGCCTGTAATACAAGCTGCATGGGAGGCAGAGACGGAGAGGACTGAGGTCGGAGTGAGACCCCATTTAAGACACCAAGTAAGAAGGGATTTGTGGCGTGCGCCTGCCATCCCAGGCTTTTGGAGCCTATGCAGTGGGAGAGGCCCTGACACAGGGAGGGTCTGGAATTCAAATGCCAGCAATAAGAAAAAGAGAAAGGCAGAAACTATTTGTAAAAGAAATTGTCAAGCACGGAATGGGAACAGTGAAAAGGGCCACTGGCACAAGATCCAAGTCCAGCCTGCCTTTTACTAAAGCGGAGACACTCATTCCTAGGTGCTGAACTTCTAATGAACCCACATGACCACTTGACAAACCTGGAGCAGACCCTTTCCATAAATGTGGATGAAGAGCAAGATGGGTACCTTGCTACACAGGAAAGGTTTGAGAGTGCTTTTCCAAGCAGATCAGGAAAAGCAGAAGAAAGCAGAGTGAGTGGAGAGCAGTGAGTTCAACCACAGCACAACTATTTCTCTACTTTCTGGAAGAAATACCACTCCAGGTCACCTGTAAAGCATTTCTAGGATAAGCTCGAATATCTAGACCCACAGATATTTAAATCAGAAGGCACTGCAGTATGCTGCTGCCTTTTTCCACCTTCAAAGCGCTCCTTCAAAAAACGATCCCTCTCTAGTAGTTCATAGCGTTCTAGAATGGCACAGAAGTGTAAATATAGAACAACTTACTACATTTCACGTTTGAGGTGTGTAATTTTTCCTTCAAGGGAGGACTTTTATTTCAGGAGTTTTGAGGATTTTTGTTTCAGAAAAATCATGGATGAAAAGTAAAACTTTCATATCGTGCTCCCCATCTCCTCACAGGCCTGGCAAGTAAAGGTGGAAAAGGCAGGCTGCACGTATTATTTGAAAATGAAAAAGAAAATACTAAATTCCACCATGTGCACTTGGAGGAGGTTCTCCATGTGCTTTCAGTTCCAAAACAGCTATTATTCTTTTCCGCTCTTGTACTCAAACATTTTGAGCACATGTGCTACTACATGGGTCTCTCCCATCCATCTCCACATTCTACTGTGGCACTAAAATAGTTTTGTTCAGAGGGAAGTACAAATTCAACGGTTAACAGATTCTATGCTTTCTCTATGGCCTGTGCCACACAGCTGGGACAATACCGTCTTGTCAACCTGTCAACAGCTTAAGTCCACGCTCCACAGTTCATGCCACATATTACAGTCACCTGGGAGCTTTTTCAACACACTGATGCCCTAACCACATCCCAGACTATTTCGTGAGCCCCTCCGTTCCTTATTCCTGGCAGCAGGATCTGCACATAGGGAATGGACCACCCCCATTCCATCATCCCATCTCAATCATGCCTGGTTCCTTACCTGCTGGCTCTATGGATTTTGTCATTCCTCATGACAGTTTCAAGCAAATGACCCTCCTGTCATCTGCAGTGGCCTGTCCTGATGCCACTTTGGTCCTGTATTCACAATCAATTTTATTGGGTCTTGATGTAACTGACCCCCGACCCACATCCCTTTGAGTGACTTAAACAAAAGGCTCTCTTAGCCTCAGTCCTCAAGAGTCAATGGGGTTGTATTTAGACTCGAAGCTGGACATGTTAATGGAAACGACAATAAGGAAGAGGAGAGGACAAGGACCACCTAAGTCGTCCTTGATCTGTGCAGATTTGAGGTACTGCCCTTGGCCTCTCCTTATGGACTGACATACCTTTAAAGTTCCACTCAGTGTCCTCCAGTTAACGTCAGAGTTCATGAGATAGAGATACTGACTCCTGATGAAAACATGCACATTGGCAAAGGCCTGGAGATATGGCACTGAAGACAACACTGGCACTAGGGCCTAGCTTTCTCTCACCAATACCCCAGTTTGCAATGTGGGTTTTTGTAATCAGGGCTACATCTCATAATATTGGCACTTTTCATGTGCAGGTCCAATTTAAAAGTTCAGGAACTGACATGGTCTGGTTCCCCAAAGCAAGCACAAGAGGAGAATCCCATGATAGAGAATAGTTTAGGACATGCTCCCAGAGGAAAGCTCCCAGTGGGAGCCTGGGTAGCCGGGAAAACAGACAAAAAAGCCAACAAAGACTGGGGTTCTGGGGAATTAGTTGCTTGTGCATAGCAGGCCAATTGGTGCTCTCATACAGTAATGATAACAACAGTCTGGGCTTACCTAGGGCACTTGAAGTGTCGGGACACCAGTGCTGGGTGGGAACACACTCCACTATACAAACAGGAGATGGAGATGGATGTACAGACCAGGTGGAGGCCCGTGGACATTCGAGGTATGAACACTCAGAGGATACATTAGGTATTGGACAGAACAAACCTTGAGGAGAAAACACAGAAGGAGGATGAGCTCAATCCTCCATGAAGGGTTACAAGGAGTAAGTGCATCCAAGAGACAAAGGGGGAATTACCTGTTTGTTCCAGTTCAGGGAATATGCATACTATTCGGCACCTGCTGAACAGTAGTTTTCTCTGCATGATCTTCCCTTTCAGGACATTTGTGGCATCAATGAGGCCATGTTGAAACCATGGTGTGTAGTCAACTGAGCCTTCGGGAGCATCACCCTCCAGCTCCATTTCAAAGCAGACATCTGAATTCAGCACTGAAAATACAACCACAGACATTGTTCCCTGTGCCCTGACTGGGACAGAAGAGTGTCACCAAGGAAAGAAAGTAAGCTGGGACAACAAAGTCCAAGGCTGGGAGAGGAGGCCTAGAGACACACTTATATTTTCATGATGGCTGATGTTTCTCACGTATCCAGTAATGGTAAGATGGCCAGGAGGCAAAGGTACTTCGAATTTATTAACATATTCAGGAGAAACCGGACTAGCAAAACCCAGCACCTCCCAAGAATATACAGCAAGACAAGGAAATGTCACTGGCCATGGGCTGTGTGATTTTGGGGAGGAAGAGATTTTAATACCAAGCACAATCAAAGTTCAAGGAAAACCCTATGACACAAACTAACTGTGGGAGATTAATCCTGGGAAACTTACAAAATTTGCATAAGGATCTGATATACTTCCCGTATGCACATTCTATTTAGAAAACACACCTGCCACAAACACATAATGTATATGCTCCAGATACAGATTCATTCATTATTCCCATTTGCTGAGGATACAAATACACATGCATTTAATTATCTGATTGCACCACTTCTCACACTGCAAGATGGAGGGATCTTATACAGATTATAATTCTTATTCCACAGAGCTGAAATTAGAAATCGGTGAAAAATGTGGATAAAAAGAGCTTGTGAAAAGCAGATGGCCCGTTAAGACATCAGGAAATGATAGCACTGAGCAATAGAGCAAAGCTGCACACTCTCCCTGCTCCCCAAATGTCCTCTGAGCTGGCTTATTGCTCCGGCATCCACGGAAGGTGAGCAACAGACAGAGTAAATGAGTTAGGCTGCTGAGTATTGTCTGGGCTTGGGGGAAGCCAGTGGCAAGGAAAAGGCATGCCAGATGGATGGCAAGACAGTTAAATGCTCCATGTTATTCACATGGGTAAGGCACTGCATGTCCCCAAAGATGCAGGAGCACTTCCCATAGGAACACTCCAAGTGTATGACTGGGGCCCCTAATCCCAACGACCTTCCACCTCCTGACATCACCACCAGGAAGCGTCCATGGCTCAATGTGTTGTCATTGGAGTGACACTGAGGAAGGATGTGCAAGACCCAGATAAAGTGGACGTGAAGGGTTGAAACCTCAGTCTTAAGAACATCTGGAGCAAATGAGGGGTGGTGGACCAAGCCTGTAATACAAGCTGCATGGGAGGCAGAGACGGAGAGGACTGAGGTCGGAGTGAGACCCCATTTAAGACACCAAGTAAGAAGGGATTTGTGGCGTGCGCCTGCCATCCCAGGCTTTTGGAGCCTATGCAGTGGGAGAGGCCCTGACACAGGGAGGGTCTGGAATTCAAATGCCAGCAATAAGAAAAAGAGAAAGGCAGAAACTATTTGTAAAAGAAATTGTCAAGCACGGAATGGGAACAGTGAAAAGGGCCACTGGCACAAGATCCAAGTCCAGCCTGCCTTTTACTAAAGCGGAGACACTCATTCCTAGGTGCTGAACTTCTAATGAACCCACATGACCACTTGACAAACCTGGAGCAGACCCTTTCCATAAATGTGGATGAAGAGCAAGATGGGTACCTTGCCACACAGGAAAGGTTTGAGAGTGCTTTTCCAAGCAGATCAGGAAAAGCAGAAGAAAGCAGAGTGAGTGGAGAGCAGTGAGTTCAACCACAGCACAACTATTTCTCTACTTTCTGGAAGAAATACCACTCCAGGTCACCTGTAAAGCATTTCTAGGATAAGCTCGAATATCTAGACCCACAGATATTTAAATCAGAAGGCACTGCAGTATGCTGCTGCCTTTTTCCACCTTCAAAGCGCTCCTTCAAAAAACGATCCCTCTCTAGTAGTTCATAGCGTTCTAGAATGGCACAGAAGTGTAAATATAGAACAACTTACTACATTTCACGTTTGAGGTGTGTAATTTTTCCTTCAAGGGAGGACTTTTATTTCAGGAGTTTTGAGGATTTTTGTTTCAGAAAAATCATGGATGAAAAGTAAAACTTTCATATCGTGCTCCCCATCTCCTCACAGGCCTGGCAAGTAAAGGTGGAAAAGGCAGGCTGCACGTATTATTTGAAAATGAAAAAGAAAATACTAAATTCCACCATGTGCACTTGGAGGAGGTTCTCCATGTACTTTCAGTTCCAAAACAGCTATTATTCTTTTCCGCTCTTGTACTCAAACATTTTGAGCACATGTGCTACTACATGGGTCTCTCCCATCCATCTCCACATTCTACTGTGGCACTAAAATAGTTTTGTTCAGAGGGAAGTACAAATTCAACGGTTAACAGATTCTATGCTTTCTCTATGGCCTGTGCCACACAGCTGGGACAATACCGTCTTGTCAACCTGTCAACAGCTTAAGTCCACGCTCCACAGTTCATGCCACATATTACAGTCACCTGGGAGCTTTTTCAACACACTGATGCCCTAACCACATCCCAGACTATTTCGTGAGCCCCTCCGTTCCTTATTCCTGGCAGCAGGATCTGCACATAGGGAATGGACCACCCCCATTCCATCATCCCATCTCAATCATGCCTGGTTCCTTACCTGCTGGCTCTATGGATTTTGTCATTCCTCATGACAGTTTCAAGCAAATCACTCTCGTGTCATCTGCAGTGGCCTGGCCTGATGCAAACTTTGGTGCTGTATTCACAACCAATTTCATTGGGTCTTGATGTAACTGACCCCTGACCTACAACCCTTTGAGTGACTTAAACAAAAGGCTCTCTTAGCCTCAGTCCTCAAGAGTCAATGGGGTTGTATTTTAGACTTGAAGCTGGACATGTTAATGGAAACGACAATAAGGAAGAGGAGAGGACAAGGACCGCCTAAGTCATCCTTGATCTATGGAGGTTTGGAGTTGTGCCCTTGGCATCACCTTTTGGACTGACATACCTTTAAGGTTCCACTCAGTGTTTTACAGCTAATGTGAGAGTTCATGAAATGGAGATAGTGACTCCTGATCAAACCATGCACATTGCCAAAGTTTTGGAGAAATGGTGTGGATGACAATATTGGCACTAGGGCCTACCTTTCTCTCACCAATACCCCAGTTTGTAATGTAGTTTTTTGTAATCAGGGCTACTTCTCATCACATTAGCACTCTTCATATGCAGGTCCAATTTAAGAATTCAGGAACTGACATGGTCTGGTTCCCAAAAGCAGCAGAAGAGGAGAATCCCACACTAGAGATTGGTTTAGGGTTTGTTCCCAGAGGAAAGTGGCAGTGGGAGCCTGGGTAGCTGGGGAGACAGACAAAAAGCCAACCAAGACTGGGGTTCTGGGGAAATAGTTGCATGTGCTTAGCAGGCCAGAGATGCTCTCATACAGTAATGGTAACAACAGGCTGGGCTTACCTCGGGCACTTAAAGTGTCAGGACACCAGCGCTGCTTGGGAACACAGTCCTCAGTACAAACAGGAGATGGAGATGGATGACCAGACCAGGTGGAGGCCCATGGAAATTCGAGGTATGGATACACAGAGGTTACATGGGCTGTTGGACAGGACGAACCTTTAGGAGAAAACAGAGTAGGAGGATGAACTCAATCGTATATGAAGGGTCACAAGGAGTAAGTGCATCCAAGAGCCACAGGTGGGATTACCTGTCTGTTCCAGTTCAGCGAATCTGCATACTATGCGGCACCTGCTGAACAGTAGTTTTCTCTTCAGGATCTTCCATTTCCTGACATTTGTGACATCAGTGAGGCTGTGTTGAAACCCTGGTTTGTGGTCAACTGAGCCTTTGGGAGCATCATCCTCCAGCTTCATTTCAAAGCGGGCGCCTAAATTCAGCTCTGAAAATACAACCACAGACATTGTTCCCTATGCCCTGATTTGGACAAAACAGTGTCATCATGGAAAGAAAGTAAGCTGGGACAACAGAGTTCATGGCTGAAAGAGGAGGCCTATTGACACACTTATATTTTCATGATTGCTGATGTTTCTCACATATCCAGTAAACTAAGATGTCCAGGAGGCAAAAGTACTTTCAATTTTTAACATATTCAAGAGAAATTGGACTAGTAATACCAAGTACCTCCCAAGAATATATGGCAAGACAAGGAAATGACACTGGCACTGATTTTGGAGAGAAAGAGATTTTAATACCAAGCAAAATCAAATTTCAAGGAAAACCCTATGACAGAAACTAACTGGGGGAGGTTAATCCTGCAAAACTTACAAAACTTGCATACATATCTGATATACTTCCTGTATGCTCATTCTGTTTAGAAAACACACCTCCCACAAACACATAATTTGTATGGTCCAGATACAGGCTTCATTCATTATTCACATTTGCTTAGGATAGAATGTACATGCATTTAATTATCTGATTTCACCACTTCTTACACTGTACAATGGAGGGATCTTATACAAGGTTATAATCCCTATTCCACAGAGCTGAAATTAGAAATCGTTGAGAAATGTGAGAAGAAAGTGGATAAAAAGAGCTTGTGGAAAGCAGGTGGCTTTTTAAGCATCAGGCTTTCTCTATGGTCTGTGCCATACCTTTGGGAAAATTCTGTCTTCTGAACCTGCAAACAGCATAAATCAGTGATCAACAATTCATGACACATGTTAGTCTCTTGTGTTCTTTTTTAAAACACTGATGCCCAAAGCACATCCCAGACATTTTACAGAAGTCTGTAGACTTCTTCATGGCAGCATGATCTGGGATAGGGAACAGGCCACTGATTCTCATCTCATGGCCCCATCTGTCATCCTTATCTACCGGCATAATGGATTTTCCAATCCTTTTGTCAATTTCAAGCAAATTCCTCTCTTGTTAATTACACTGGCCTGATGAAAGGCTTGTCCTGTATCCACAATCAAATTGGGTCTTCATATAATTGGCCCTGGAGTCACTTCTCATTGTTATTTAAATAAATTGTGCAAGTACTGCCTTTGGTTTCTATTTTGGTCTCGTGTTGCATTACAGTGCCATTTAATATCCTCTAGTTGACTTCAGAGTCTATGAATTACAGACCTTGAGTTCTGGAAAATCCTTGCATATTGACACAGGGCTTACACATGGACCTAAAGACAA